CAAATCTATCACCTTATTGTTTTTAAATAATTAGTAAAACAGAATATGTAAAGAAGAGCTATCAGAAACCATGTCTGTTCCACCGCATATCATCATTAGAATTTCTTTGAGTATTATGTCTTCAGTACAGGGGCCAGGACATGATTTACAGGGGCCCTGGCCCCCATTGGCCCCTGTCCAGAACCACCCATGTATGGATTTCACTTTGCCTAATAATAAACGTTTGAAATCTGCCCCTCTCTATTTTTCACTCCTTCTGTGTGACTCTGTCATCCACAGAATCCATCTGCTAATTGATGTGGTTTTAAAATCAGATTTTATTTTTAGTCCTGCTTCCCTCCATCTGTTTTCACCTCATTTTCACCTCTTCACTCGATCCAATCTGTTTCCTTCACACTGTCTCGTGTTTGTGTATTTTTTTGCACTTCTTACTAACTTTGTTTTTACTTTGTGCCATATGTCACCTCTTCTTTTCTAATGATGTGTTTTTGTCTTCCCACTTTGTGCAGCTATAAGACGTTCCTCAGCGAGGACGCCGGTCCTGACACGCTGGTCGCCATCGTTCACGCCAACGACCCAGATGGGGACGCCGTCTCCTACGCCATTACAGGTGGCAATGAGGACAGCAACTTCCAGCTTGATAACCAAAAAGGTAGCATGAAAACAACAGATGCTGAACAACCCTGCTGGTTTTATTTCTCTAAATATTACAAAGCAGCTTTGAAACTCAACTTTAAAGCTCTTCATAACTTTTTAAGACGATGCAACCATTTGCTTTGTGGAAAAATAACAAAGTATTTGAATCGTTGATGACCTTCAGCAAAGATTTAATTGTGATTGATTAATGAAGTAAGCAGCATTTAAAATAAGTTTGGTGGAATGCAAAAAAATTTAAATCCAAGTAAATTTTTCCTAAAATCACTGCATTTTTTTATGCTGTTAAGTGAGACACTTTGCCAATGAGATAATAGAATATACCTTTAATGTGACGTACAGGGATTGGACCCAGAATTCAAACCAGCACAAGTCAGTTACGTTTGAAACAAGCTTTATTTAAAAAATAAAACACACAAAGAAATCAGGAATTAACCCATGAAAGTCATTATGAACACCTATGAGATTCTATTTATTAACAGTTTTATTTTAACAGTGGCAAATTAGGGCCAAATCAGATGAGACACATTTTAATACATTTTTTTGGACAATTCCAAGCAGAGCTGTAATTTTGGCAAAGTGTAGCCAAATGTGCAATAACTGTGTTTTTGTAATGAAAGGGAATAGGGTCAAATAAAAGTGGTGATTTCCATTGCAGAGCTCCTGCTTATAACAGAGCTGTTTAGAACGATATTTAGGCTGTCTGTAATCAACTGCATCTAGAGCTGTTCATAAAGACAGCCCTGTGTAAAGGAGAGAAGTCACGACAACCTGTTCTGCATGGACAGAAAGATGTGTGATAAGTTGTGAAAAGTTAGCCTAGTAAACTAGCCCCACCCGCGGCCAAAATAATTTTTGCCTGCGAGTTTAGTCTAGCCACGATCAATGCCCCAGGCCCTAGAACTGGCGGGCCAATCCCAACGCAGAGATGTGTTTTGAATTTATGGATGCAAAGGGGGCGGGGTTTTTGAGGCCGTGACGACAAATCTGCGCAATGCTGGAGAGAGAAAAACAAGGAAGATGGCTGCACTGTGTCAGCAGCAGCTTTTAATGGAGCGCTCCATTGAAAGTTAAAAGTTCTCTTTTCTGTTGCTGTTGTTCAATAAAAGTATGTTTTAAGATTATTTGAGGTGAGAATATTAAACTTTAAAGTGTCACTATATGGTCCATTTACCGATTTAATAGGTGATTGAAAAAAATTAATTTCCGAAGTTGCGAAGACTGTGGCAACCAGCGGACCTCCGAGGCTAACAGCAGCTAGGGCTAACCGCAGCCCGGCTGCAGTGGCTGTCTCTCGGCATAGTCGTGTGTGAAGGACCGCTGGCTCTGATGGCGATTTTTGACTCAGCTTTGGAATCAGTTTTGGAAGGATTAGACTTGGGTTTTTTGTTGAAACGTGAGCAGGAAGAGGCTCGACCCTCATTCATTTTTAAGAAGGATGAATTTGCTGTTTTACTGACAGGCTGTTTGTTTTCCCCTCCCCCACCAGCTAACTTCGTCACAGTCAGTTGCGCTCATTGGTCAGAGCATTGGCCAATAGGCACAGACATGGTTTGAAAAACATGTCTGTTCTCATCAACAATCTTCCAATGTGTAATTCATCGGGCCAGACTAAATTACACATTTAATCTCACATTTAGTCTGGTTTATCAGGCTAGTGAAAAGTCTCTATTTAGAAGGACAGATGCCAGTCATAAGAGGCAGTGCCATATAGTAAAGTGCCATAAATGTTCTTTAAAGTGCTGTAAAACAAAATTACTCTAGCAACTTGTTTAAGAAATTTTAAAGACTTGTTCTTTTTAATATTTAGGAGGAAAATAATCGACTGTGTTTGACAGAAAGAGAAAAACTGAAATAAACCCTTTAAGATGCATAGTAATGTTATATGCATGTACAATGTTTATTTATGTTTATGCTTTTACCAGACACTTTTATCCAAAGCGACTTACAAAGCAGGCATTAAATGAAGGGACTTGCCTAAAGACCCCCACTGGCAGCTCGTTCCCCCCAGCGGGAAACCAGGTGTGCGAGTCGGGTTACTTACCATTTGAGCTAGCCAGCCGTACAAAATGACAAAATACCGTCTCAAGATGATAAAATAAGGTTGTATGGACCAATTGATAATGTTAAGATAATGTTTAGTCCTCTTTGAGACTAAATAGAATTTCAGCACCGGGGACAGGCAGACATGAACAGATGTGGCGCCATCTGCTGGCAGTACCACATAACTAACAGAAAGACAGCTCAGTGTGGTCACAGACCAACCAATTCTATGTAAATAAACTGATCTACAGCATTTTTCTATAGTTCTATAGAAGCTTCCTAAGGGTTTCCTATCAGAACATCATAAAAAATATAAGAAAAGAATAAGAAAAACTATATTCCAAACAAACGCAAACATTGACACAGCTTCAATGTAAGAATCTATCTTTCTGCCTGCCAATCTGTATATCTACACTTTTTGAAATTAGGCTGTAAAGGCTAAGAATAGCATTGCCACCACAAGCTGCATTTCCATTAACCTTAAAATGGCACAAATTTTCATTGCAAAAAGAAATTTGCTAAATTGAATCAATGGAATTTTATTATGAAAAAAGGTTTTAACGCTTTAATGAGGTGGTTATTCGGTCAAAAAGAAATTCTTATGTTTTGCAAAACTGCGACGGAAACACTTTCCTCTTCACACAAGTCACACTAACTGCAGCTGAACCATACTGCCTTTTTTAAAAAGACGAGGAAGACGACCAGAAGAAGTTGGAGGATGATGGTGCCCCGCTAGCCTCGTGAGACCATCCTGATCTCGCGAGCTTTCAAGGTTTCACTCGCAGATCAGTCTGGAGACTCTCCGTTAAAGAAAATTTGGAGCCGTTCACCAAACGAACGTCCAATCAGCGTTGGCTTTGAGGCGGGTTGAGGTGTGACGCAACGAGAAGCGCGACAGTTCAGTCTAAAGAACATGGCGGCTTCAGCCGATGAAACTAGCGTAAGCGTGGCTATGGAGCAAGTTTTATCGGAATTACAGAGTATTTCTTCACTGAAAGAAGAGCAAAACACTGCTCTGGAGGCTTTTCTCAGAGGAAAAGATGTTTTTGCTCTTCTCTCGACTGGTTTAGGCAAGAGTAGCCTGGCTTGTGGTTGTGTTTTCGTTGTCGCTCTGTTAGTACGTCATATGCTTCGTTGATCTGATTGGTTTATTTGGCCCGTCTATCACCAACATAGGCCAATCAGCTAACCAGTATTTTCGCCCCTTCCCAAAATTACTTCAACGGAAGGTTTCCAGATGGATATGCGGAGCAAATCCATCTGGCGGAGTCAGGTTAGCGCAGTAGCTGAAAAATTGAAATATATTGTTTACATCCGCCGCTGCAATGAGAAAACATATCCATGTGCAGTTTTTATTTTTATTTTATGGCAATACTGCAATTGCAAAACTCGTACTTCTTGGAATCTAATATTTTTTGCCACTTTTTTCACACTGAATCTCGGACTCTTCTTTGTTTCCGCATTTCCCTGGGAGGAGCTAACTGGCTTAGCCACGGGAGGCTAATTCCTTCTTTACTCCCTGCGCACATTCATGATATTGTTCCTCCTTTGTTATTGTATATATACACAAACAGCTTTATTTATAAACAAGAATAAAGGGTTAGGACACAAAAATAATTATCTGTCAGCAGGACGTGGTAATCTTTCAGAAAAACATAAGTGAGTTACTAGTGTACACGTTTATACTAGTGTATGTATTTGATAAATGTTATAAAGTGACTATGGATCATTTAGCCCAATGGACTTATGGGGTTACAGCAAAGGAGAACTGAAGTTAGTATTCATGTTTATTTGCACACCTCTGGTCATTATAGCTGATGTATTTTGGAAAAAAATGTCAGGATGAAAAAGAAAACAGAAAAAATACGACATGGTGGTTTCTGCCCCGGAAAAAGCTTTTTTAAATTTCCATTTTTTCCCACCAATGATCTACGGTGAATTTGAACTGGAGTCTGAGGTTCAGTAAAATGACTGAGCTATAAAAGTTCCAGAGTTGATCACACCTGCTAGACTTTTTCAAACAGATGGCGAACAAAACTACTTTGTCAGATTAAAAATGACTTTTTGTCATAAGGAATGTTGCCAGCTCAGTCAGATTTAACTTGGATTTGAGCAGTAAAATAAGTGTTTATTTAACCAGACGTTCATGTTCTGAGGGCATTCCTGCATTTCCTGCTCTGACTCTAATGGGACAGTAATGAATGTCAACATGATGTTTTTCAGCAAGCAGAACACTTTGACACACTCAAACAAGGCGAACAATCATTTTTACATATGTACACACACACACACACACACCAGCAGCATTCAGATCACTTACATTCACACATGCACGCTGCAAAGTGGTTGTTTCCATGGTAACAAGTTTTTGGGGATAAAGCATGGTGGTTTTAACGAGGCCAGTGTACCCCCTGGAAGACACGTTCACCACAACCGCATAAATAAAAAAACACAAATGCACATAAATAAACACTGCAGCTGGAACACAGAGACCGTTCTTCTTCTGCTCACCGTCCCTGATGAGCTTCACTCATTTCACTAACTCTGCATCTATCTTTGTGTGGACGGTTTTTCCTTTAGTGACTGAAAGTTAAAAAAAAACAACAAAAATATGCCAATCTAGGTCTTAGGTATGTGGAATCCAACATATTACTTTTTTATCTAGTTTTGGGGTTGTTTGTCTTTGCTGTTCATCTAGTGATGCTTTAGGGATGCTTTCTTAAAAATAAAACCCTAAATTATTCCAACTTAACTGGCAGAAACATCCATGTTTTAGCATCTATGTGCATTCAGTGGCCTTCATCGTTATCTTCATGCCAACAACTATTCATTTCAATTTTATTTATATAGCGCCAATTCACAACACATGTCATCTCAAGGCACTTTACAGTTCAACCAGATCATTCAGTCAAGTTGAATCAAAGTTTTCTATCTAAGGAAAACCAGTTGATTGCATCGACTCACTGACTCGAAGGTAATCCCTCCCAGTAAGCATGCTTGTAGCGACAGTGGAGAGGAAAAACTCCCTTTTAACAGGAAGAAACCTCCAGAAGATCCAGGCTCAGTGTGAGCGGCCATCTGCTGAGGCCGACTGGGATTAAAGGAGACAGAAACAGAGATACAGAAAGAAGCAGAGATACAAAAGGCAACTGTCAACCAGCTCCACAGGCGCCCCGCTAGGAATCCTACAGCCAGGCAGACGAGCTCTGAGCCAGCTCCCATGTCAGAGGATGAATAGAGCACATCCAGGCAGTCACAGTCAGATAAACAGGACTACACTGAAAAACAGGCCGATCTCCAACATCTAGAAACAAAGGTGTTGATGGCAGCAACACAGTTGATATTTCTCTCCAGGATGGAGTCACAGACAAACAGGAACTTTATGCAAGTTTTATTTGAAGTGAATACATTCTGTGCAGCAAACTACAATTCAAAAAATTGTAATTGTAATATGTATGTTAAGTGAAGCAGTTTGCAAATAAAATGAGATGATTTACTTTTAAAAGAAGTAAAAAAAAAAGCCTAATATGTTATATTAAGTGCATAATCTTCAATTACCTTTTAGGAAGTTAATAATTATTCCATTGCAGATCATCTTATTTAGCTGCTGAAATTAGGGGGAAATACTCTTATGTTAAAAATATTTTTTCTAAATTTTTTGCAGTGTATAAGCAGCCACTTTTTCCCTTACCTTTTCTTAACTGCTAAGCTCTACAAAAACAAAGCCAAACAGAGAAGTGTGCAACCGTTAACATGAGAGCAGCAGTGTAGCAAGCAATTGCTTTGCTTATTTTTTTATTTGTATCAATATTATCTTATCTAATTGTTGAAATAGGTGTTAATCTTTCCTAAAATGCTTTTAGATGTCATACTGAAGTAAAACAAAGTAACCAGTGGACCTCAGGGAAAAATGTGCTTTCTGGAACCGATGCCTTCTGCAACCAGCAGAGATTGTCATGATTTTAATAAGGTTCAGACCCAAATGCAGAAGACCAAACAGGAAGAGCAGGGAAAAGGTTTAACAGGTTTTATTGAAGAGTTAAATTCAGAGAGAAGTGTTGCTCTGGACACTGCTCAACCGGAACTGAAAAGTGAGGGGAAGACGCAGTGGTTAGTTCAGGCTCAGTGGGAAATTTGACTCGTGAACTTGGAGAAGAGGATTTGGTTGCTGACTCACATTTCCAGAGAAGTTGTTGAATCCTTGAATCCAGTCTGTATGCTGAAGTTCCAGTGCTTGTCTGATTCGGTGGAGGGCGGAACAGGGTTTACCCAGAATGCGGTTTTTAATAGGTGACAGAGAAAACTGACTGCCACTCAGATTTCCTGCAGTACTTGAACGGGTCGTAGTGGAGATTAATCCCTTTCTCAGTGCGAAGCTCAAACGTTCTCTTGGGGAAAGTGGATCCAAACCTCCTGTTTGAACCCCCGCTCAGTTTGAAGCTCAGTTGATCCTTCCAGGGAGAGAAGGTCCGAAAAATCCAGTTAGCAAGATGACTTCCTGCCGAGAGGCAAAAGACAAACAATTTTAAAACTCGGGTAGACAAAAACTCAGTTTGACTCAGCGAAACTCAGCTTGGCTAGAGTACCCAAAACTGGCAAACACTCTGGCGTCGAGGTAGTGGCAGTCAGCAGCTTAAGAGCACTCCGTTAACGAAGTAACCATCAGCAGGTGTGTGAGGAGGCGGACCAGAACCAGGCGCCTCCTGGTGGAGGAAGGGAGACAAACACAGAAAACACAAACAGACAGACAGGAGCCCTGATAGAGATTTACTTCAGTAAATTAATAGAGAAAATCTTTTACAGGTAGTTATGTTCTTTTTATTTTAACTTGAGCAAAATTATGATGAAGTATTAATAATTATGATTCATTTTCATCAATTCTTTTTTCATTATAGTTTTTGTCATTTTGTAAGTTTTAGTTAACGATAATAACCTTGTCTATAGGGGGCTTATTATAATGATAACTGTTGGAAATGAGCATCCAATTCCACCTACATTAGTTTCCTCCATTCTTCATCTCCTTCTTCACGAACCTTTAAAGAAAGTTTTCATCTCCAAGCTTGGCAGAACAACAACGTCTATTCCACCATGTTTCCGTCTCCTTTGTCTGTTGGACAGAGGAAATTGAAAACAGGTTAATAACATCCACCTCATTTTGGGAAATTCCTTGCCTATTTTGCATCCCCAAATAGAAGAGCAAATAACTTAGGAACTGTAAGCCCAAATTACATGTGTGCTACATTATTTGAAAGCTAACACTTTCTACTTTCTGAATATATACATGAAAATTGGATGAGTAAAACACAACCCAAGCTGCATCAGTTCAAACATGACACAAAGTTGTTTTTTAATTTTTTTAGTATTTATGTTTACATTTTGGCATGCTGCTATATCTGAGTTAATTGTACTTTGGTGCTCGCTGTGTCCATAAATGACCTAGATGGTTAAATTGTGGAGAATCTAAGTTTTCCAACGATGTCTAACATGTCTATGTTGGTAGACATTTTAACGGTGTAATTTTCATGCATTCTGAGTTATTACCTTTAAACGCTTTAAGCCGGATGGTTTTGAGAGGCTAAATCTGAAGACGTCGCCTGTTGTCTGTTCTTTTTTGCCACTTTAAACTTTATTTCCCTTCAGGCTCTGTTTGAACATAACTTTTTTTCGGGGAGGCCGTTCTTTGATGTTGCCAGCATGCACTGCTCCACTGTTCCCATGCATCCATGCACAAAAAAAAAAGAAAATAAATGTGAGCATTTGCACATAAATGATGTATTAAGACTCTTTTTCACACACACTCAGACACACCTACACACACTCATCTGCACTCATGCAGCAGATGGCCTTTGGCTTGCTGGGATGTTCTGCTTTGTCACTTCAAAGCGATGTGAAGTATTTTCATGTAGATGTGATCGCGCCCTCTCAGCCTCCGTGTCTATATTCATGCTGCTACTAAAGCTGCTTGTTTGTTTGTTTGCACTGCCTCTCTGTTATGCTAATGCTGCAGCGATTGTTAGTGCAGAAAAATGACATTTGTTTTGCACCTGAGTTGGAATAATGTGTGTATTTTTTTTTTTTTTTCGCACGCTGTTGCTTCATTTGACAGTTACTGCTGTTGTTGACCCACAGAGCAGGAAACATCACAGCGCCGCCTTTCATCTTTGCTGTTTTTTAAACTAAACATGTCTGCTGTTATTTATACTCACCGGCATTCATGGTGGATGATTTGGCCAGGAAACAACCACAGCAAACTATTGCTTGGAAAGAAGCAGAAAGTCGATATAATATCATTTTGCACATTTTTTATTAACTGAATGCTGCCAACTTGAGGTGGAGATCCTGGGTGTTTTTTTTCTTTTTCTCTTTGCTAGAATCTAGATATATGACTCCTCCTACTTTTAAGTTACCAGTCGTTGTGATTTTTTGGCCGGGATCTGAGTCGCTTTGTTTTCTCACAGTAAAAAACGCATTATTTGTTTTTGACCCTCATTTTGTGCGGGATTGTGAAGGAACATTTTTTATCTTGCTATACCAGTGCATTCATGCAGCACTTTTTCTCATTATTTGTCAAAAATGTTCTCAAGAACAATGTTAGGGAAGGTAAAAAAAAAAAGTCCTTTGACACAAATTGGTGCATAGTTACTGACGTTTAATGTGTGTCCAGGCATCATCAAGCTTCGGCGGAGTCCACCGCCACGGCTCAGGGGCCCGCAGTACGTCCTCAACATCACCGCTACAGATGACAATGCTTCGGGTGGTCCCTATCCACTCAGCAGCGCCGCTCAGGTCATCGTGGGGATCAATGACATCAACAACAACAAGCCCGTGTTTGATGAGGTAGCATGTTTTACACCATTTTAGAGATATAAACACACAGCGTTAGTTTTCATCTTCCTGACTGTGACGTTTTTGCTCTCAGTGTCAGAAGTACAATGCAGCAGTTCTGGAGAACCAGCCGCCGGGGACGTTCGTGCTGCGTGTGGAGGCCCACGACGCCGACATGGGGGTTAACGGAGAGGTCAAATACGGCATCATGCACAGAGACGGTGTATCGTCTGGGTTTGATATCGACCCTGACACCGGTAAGCTAAACTTTTCTCATTGTTACTAACAATAAAATGTTTGATATATCTGATGGATTTGTGGATGCTGTGTTTTTATTTTAGGCGTGATAACCACGGCTGTGAGTTTCGACAGGGAGCGTCAGAGAGAATTCACGCTTTCTGTGACGGCCACCGATCAGGCCGAGGAGCCACTGATCGGGATCTGTCAGATCACGGTGCTGATCTTAGATCAGAACGACAACGACCCCAAGTTTGAAAACAGCCGTTACCAATGTAAGTACCGCTGCATATGCTGGTGAAGATTCTCAGTCATCCAGGTCATAGTCATTCCAAAACAATTAAAAAAA